TGTGGCGAACTCAGCGCCTGGAGTTCCCCTCCGTCTGTTCGCAGGTCGGAGAAAACGCTCGCTCCTGACTCATGCTTGCTACAAACCAGCACAGCATTGTTTTTGTTCATTTCTGAGTGAGTCACCGGCCAGAAACAAACACGAATTGAGTCTTTGTTGGTTGTCCCGCTAGGTCCGTGACACACGGATGAGCTGTGAATTCAAACCTGCTGCACTGCAGAGGAAATGCTGGTGAATACAGTCTGCTTTGCATATTTCTACTGCGCAGATAAAACTAAGAGGTCTCAGCTTTCAGTTTATGTTGCAGGAGAGGAAGAAAACCTTAATCAGCTGCAAATGAGTGGTTTGGAGAAACAGCCATGGCCTGTTATCGTTACAGAAACAAACTGAGACCAAATAAACAGTTTGTCTCAGATTCTTTCAACATGGAGCGTGACGAATGTTCCCACATGGTGGCTCATTTCTGTTAAACATCCTGGCATCTTTTCACAGCTTTTCCTTCTAGCGGATGGATGGATGGATGGATGGATGGATGGATAAACAATGGATGGATGGATGGATGGTTGGATAGATAAAGAAACAATGGATGGATGGATGGATGGATGGATGGATGGATGGTTGGATAGATAAACGATGGATGGATGGTTAGTTGGATGGATAAACGATGGATGGATGGTTGGTTGGATAAATAAACGATGGATGGATGGATGGATGGTTGGTTGGATAAATAAACGATGGATGGATGGATGGATGGATAAACGATGGATGGATGGTTAGTTGGATGAATAAACGATGGATGGATGGATGGATGGATAAATAAAGGATGGATGGATGGATAAACGATGGATGGATGGATGGATGGTTGGTTGGATAAATAAACGATGGATGGATGGATGGATGGATAAACGATGGATGGATGGTTAGTTGGATGGATAAACGATGGATGGATGGTTGGTTGGATAAATAAACGATGGATGGATGGATGGATGGTTGGTTGGATAAATAAACGATGGATG